CCGCTCTCCCCGCCGCGCCCCGCGCCGCCCCGCGCTCTCACACTGTACGTATCCTACTGAAGACTGAAGACACATTAAAATACTAGCACATAGGCTATTTAATTTTGTCTTATCTTCTATGTCTGTGCCAAATTTCAACGAAATCGTTTAGCCGTTTAGGCTACAAACTCTAACGAACATCCATCCATCCATTCGTCCAAACTTTCGCATTTATAACATTAGAAAGATTTAAATACAATCAAAGTTTTCAGCAACACGGACTAGATGGCGTTGTTAGATTGGGACATCGCGCCGTGGTTGGTACCATAAGTTCCCATAGTTCTTTGCCTATACTAAAATTATAAAGAGGAAAGAATTATATTTTTGTATTTTTGTAATATATAGATTTGTTCTCAAACCGGACTCTGGCGTATAGACAAGACAAATGCATACATCTATTCTGGTCCTTATGCTGATTAGAGAATTCAAGTTTTTAAGCGTCAGTCGTGAAGCGTACTCCACTAACAAAGTACTCGTACTAATTGGTATTTATTATTTTAATAGACATTCAATGGGACGCTAACTGTGTACCATTTTCTATGTCGATGTAGGTAATCAGTTTTGTTTACTTATTGCAGAGAGTTCCCTCCTCCGAGTGTGGCGTTGACGTCGTCTGCGAGCTCCAACTCCACGCCTGCTCACACCAGAACTGTCAAGCCTTGATAGCAACGTGACAAACAGGAGCTAATGTTGAGATTAGTGCGACTAATCTGACCTGGGCATAAGTGAAAAAAACGCAATAGTATATAATATATAACTACCTCCACTCTATGTTAGAAAATCTTTACAAAATCCTTGTCATGTTACATCTGTCTTGTGTTACTTTTATGTTCAAGTAAGTTTTACATATTTTCCGATAGCACAATGCCGGCGCCACTTTTAACGAGACAAATAAGTTTATCGCACTATATCTATACCGTTGTTGCCCCTCAGGAGGTCGCAATGAAGAAAAATTATACACATTTAGTATATCTTAATTATGATTGAGTTTCTAAGTATTAAAGAATGTTATGTAAATTAAAAAAGATAAGAGATATAAATTTGAATACACAAGACTACGCTGAGCTGTCACATACAAATGTAATAAAAAATCTTACTTCCATAACATTCTATTTCTTTCTTTTACAATAAAAATAATTAAGTGAGAAAACGTTATAAATTGTTTCTGTTTCATACATTATTGACCTTGGTTTTTATTTCCTAAAATACTGGTAATTTAAAACATTTTATCATAACAATTGAAGAATTTCTAATATCTACGACATATTTTGAGGACTCCACAGAAAATGTGTTTAAAAATAATATTATTTACACAAAAAAAACTTTCTTCGAACATTTTTGAGACAAAAGCAGTGACGCTCGCTTATTCTTTGCGGACATAGTCGCGGGCTGCAGCTAGTTGTGATAAATGACATCGCCAAAAATAATGTAAACATATATAAATGAGTATGTGATATACTAGTACGTATTATCATAACACGATATAACGGCGGCGGCGGCAGCGGCGGCGGCGCGCTAGAGGACAATTTGGCACATTACTTTGCGGACCTCAGACGTGTCCTACAAAAAATTCCAAATTAACACATTAATATATTACAATTACAACAAGATAAAGATACAATAAAAAATCAAACAGACTTCGAATAACATGTTTTCGCCATCAAAATTAAGATTTAATTCGAAGTTATTTAAAAAAATACTCGATGTGCGGTCTTCATACGAACTGTCAAAGGTTCGATATTCAGACGACACTCCGGAGATACTGAAGTTCTACAGCGACACGCCCTGGGAGCTAGACAAGTACCCCAAGTTGAGTGAGGACGACTACACAAGGTTCATTAGCAAGAGGGCCATGAAGAGAGAGCCCGCTGTTACACGACAAATAAGTAAGTTTTAATAACTTACATTTTATTATCATTACTAACTTTCGCCCGCGACTCCATCAGCGTACAAATAAAAAAAGCAGCATATGTCTTCTAGACTATACTCTATATCTGCCAAATTTTATGGATATCCGTTAAGCCGTTTTGTCTACAAACTCTAACAAACATCCATTCTTCTAAACTTTCGCATTTATAATATTAGTAAGATTATTTACGTTGTTTTATTTTGCTTTAATAATATTGGTTGATCTATTTGTTATCGTAAAACTTGATGTACTCATATACAAAAAACAATGAAAAGGATTTACGCGGGAAAATTATTACACACAATGAGATGATGTAACAACGAATTTTGTTATGTTGTTACTTTTAAAAGTTGTGGTAATCTATACTTATTGTAATAAAGAGTAAACACACACTTCTTTGTTGCCTAAGATGTCAGCAATCACAGCATATTTTTGAATAGTTCTCTTTTTAATAAAAGCCCTATACTTACGTCACGCTTTAGGCTATAACCATTAATCTTAAGGGGTTAACATTTTTGATAAAAACCCTAATGTGGGAAAGAGATCATAAGTTGCTGCCAACATCAAGGAAGCAAGGTTGCCATGGTTTGTCATCATGTCACGTCATTTTGACATTTGCAATTGATAATTTAGACAAATGTAAACAATAAAATTAAATTTTCATAATTTTATGCGGATGAACTCGCACAGGAATAGCTAGTAACGAAATAAAATGCTTGCAAATACACGTCGTAGCTTTTACAAAAGCTTTAATAGCGTTGATGTCTTAAATACGTGGCTGACTTCGAAGACATTTTAATTTCATGAATATTAGATAACAATATTACATTTGTAAACAAAGAGGGTTCTAATCCTACTAGCGATAGCGTAAGCTTGGGGATCCCTTTTAATGAACTTACGTTAAGAGGGCTGTAACGAAAATTTGGTAGTTGTGAGAGGTTGACCAAATGCTTGTTTTAAAATTTTTCCGTTTCATTAATAATTCAGTTCAATTTGTAACATTCGAGACGAGAATCAAGAAAATCGTGTTACAATCTGGTAAACGGTTACAGGAAATTTGTTAAGAGCCAGTATATCGAAATGTAGGAAAGAATTTGAAGTTTTTTGCGAGAGACTCGCCTAAACTTGTTCTGCACGTCGAGCGGCGAGCAGCGAGCGGCGAGACTTGTATGTCTTAGACTGGTGGCTAACGACTGACTGGTCTTGATCTATCAGTTTTTGATATCGACAAGATTATGTCGTAGAAGCAGTACGAGAATTATTTGATAACAAAAAAATATATATTTAATACGACATACAGTAGAACATTAAGATTAGTGCGATCATTTTTTATACACATTCCAAATATTTACTACGCAGTCGACAGACGGACATTGTGTTAACGAAATTAAATATTAACATTGGAACAGGTTATGTTAAGACGGTGTGAAACAGTGAACACGTCGCGTCGGGAAGGTGACCGTGCGATTGACGCGGTCAAATCTGCGCACATCTGGGGGTCTATTTTTTTTAGCGAGCAACTTCAATGAAAATTACGAATGCGAAATTTGGCAAACATTATAAAATGTTTGTCATAGTTACACTTCATATGCACAGTCTCTGCTTACCCCTTTTGGCTACGGTTTGCTGTCGTTTTTTATGTGCACAGTTTTTAAACAAATTTTACATTTTATTTTATTGCTTTAAACATTTTTTTTATTTTCTTTCAACAATGTATTAATAATAAGATAAGATAGGACATATTTTTCCTTCTAATATAATTAACTATAGAAACGTTTTAAATATTGTTTTTGTATTTGCAACTTGTTATGTCATTCGGCCGCGACTTTGAACTTTTTATTTCAACTCAATGACAATGAACCTCTTTCGAGTCGAGTCATTTTTATTCAATAAGCTGTTCCAGTGCGGCTTCATCCGCATGAAATTATTTATTGTTTACAATTGTCAAATTATCAATAGCAAACGTAAAAATGACATGACATGACAAACCTTAGGAATCTGTCTTTCTTGATGTTGGCAGCAACTTATGATCTCTTTCCCGCATTAAGGTTTTTATCTAAAATATTAACCCCCTAAGTTTAATGGTGTGAAAATAAATAGCCTAAAGCGTGACGTAAGTGTAGGGCTTTTTATTAAAAAAAGGAATTATTCAAAAATATCGTGTAATTGCTGACATCTTAGGCAACAAAGAAATGTGTGTTTACGCTTTATTAAAATAGTATAGATAGATTTATATTTATTTATCTATTCCATGAGAAATCAAACACTATTGGTCGCCCGCGGTTCTGCATGCAATACTTTCTTAAAGTATCAAAACTTCAACCATGTATTTATCATTTAAAATAAATTACAACAATAACATTTTATTTAAACTAAGTATCTATACTACACATTAACTAACACTACGTTAGTTCCACATTGTAAACATAGTGTGAGTAAAAACTTTAATAAAAAATTATACAAAATATGTTTTATTATGTAAGGATTATGTAACAACATAAGATTTGCGTAATCGCAAATTAAGTGCGTGACTTGATGCGTGGCTGTGTTTACGT